TATTTACTTTCTTTTATTTTCTCCTTTCAGAGATGGATTATTCTGTACATCAATCAAGCGCAGGAGGGCCTTTCCCTATCAGGGACTCACTCATCTTTCATGCCCAGCCCCCCTCTCTCACTTCCCAGGCTGTCTCTCACCAGCACCGTCACATGTTTCTTTTTCCTCTCTTACCGGTCCCGTCCAAGCGCGAAAGGCTCCCCTCAGCAACGCCGAAATCGAAAATAAGAACACGGAGCGTCAAGATGCTGCTTTCTTTTCAAGATGAAAGAACATTCTTTAGAGGATGGCAAAGGTAGCCGCCCTCTTCCTCTGAGGCACTGCCGATCAGCAGCGGTAATAATTCTCTGTGAAGATGTGATGATTGAGACTTTTACTTTCACCTTCTTTTGGCTGACGGCGAGGACCTGTGGGAGGGAGGGAGAGAGACAGAGAGGGAGAAAGAGAGGAGCGAGGAGCTGAGTGAGCGAGAAAGAGAACTGCGTAGCAATGGAGATTCGATCAGTGCGAGAGAGAGAGAAATAGCGAGGGAGACGCCATCACAGTGGTGCCTTATGCTTCATCTCCGCCGCGCACTCCGAGTAACTTCTTCAGTTTTCAGTCTTTTTCCCTTTCATCGCCTCTCGTCCGGATGAGCGGCGCGCGGCCTAATGCCTGCTCTGCTGATGGCTGTAGAGCGACATCCCCCCCCCCCCGGGCTGCCTCGGGCGCAATACCATTTTCTTCTTGCGTTGTATCACGGAGGACGTCAAGGCGCTACTGAGCACGGCCGCGAAACGATTTCTCACACCATAAAGTCCACTTAAGATTATTTTTTTAAAAAAAGAGATCACCGTGGGACCAGCCCTAAAACCGTCACATTTAAAAATATATGAGCCTGCTCAAAACCGAAAAACCATGTACAAGTTTGTGACTGTGACTCGGTTTGTGGACGCAGTTTCGCTCTGACACACGCACGCCGAACAGCAGCGGGGCCATGTCCCCTCATAACCATACAAATCGCGTACGCGCTTGTAATTCGCGCTAAACTGCCAGCCGGGACAAGGGAGAGGAGGGGGGGGGGGAGGTGTACAACCGGCCGCGCTGCGTACATGCCGACGGGGTGGAGGGACGGGGGGCTCCGGGACGCACGCGGCTCTGTCCGGCAGGGACAGCCCGGGGCCGGGCAGAGCAGCTGCGGGACAGCCGGGGACAGCTCTGCACGTTGCGTGCATTAAGTCGTTCCATGCCGCACCGTCTGGCCTCGGGGTGGGTCAGTAGCCTCATCGGCTGCCGGACCTGACCAAGCGCCGCCAAGCGCAGTGCCGCAGCAGAGTGGTTCGCTGCTTTCCTAACTCGTCCATTTACATGTACATCTTTCCTCGGTATACTTTTCCTGAGAGGAGGGGCAGATATCCGATCCGTGCAGCTAAAGAACGCCCCATTCGCTTGAATGACAAAGCGTGGACATGATTGATACATTGTGGGACGACATTCAAAGGATCTAAAAAGGCAGACGCTTGATGCAGCCCCTGATTTTCGGCGCCTGTCAGAATGCTCGCAGTTTGTTTTAGATTGGAATAAGTCCTGGTGCCTCCTCAGAGTTAGACAATCAGTTTTCCTTTTGTCCCGGAGCCGGTGGGTCACGCGCAGTTTACTACGCGACAACAAGAATGACTTCCTCCTATTTCAGATAAAATTAGCTATTCAACTTCCGCAGTCTGAGAGCCGCCGAGCTCTAAACGCACCCGGCCCCCTTTCCGCGACCCCCGCACCCCCTCCCCTTTTCCAGGAACACAATTTTAAACCCCCCCTTCTCCGCCTCTCCGCTCCCGCCCCCCTTGCACCCTTCCGTCGCTCTTTTTAATCTCAACCGGAAACAAAGTTACTGCCACGAGACGAGGGCGGCGCGACCTCGGGTCACGCGAAGCAAAAGGTTGGGAAAGGAAAAGGGAAGGGGAGGGGGACGCAAGCTGACCGCCCCTTAACGGTCCCTACAGTACGCGTCCACATTCTACTGACACTGGGGGTTAACACACGCAAGTTTCCACAACATTTCGTGGAAATGACCGCATGCCTGGAAAGCTCCGAAAATAATAATAACAAATTTTACGAAGTATTAATTAACTTAGACATCAAAGTTGAAAGATAACAATTAGTTTGCTGCACTTACCTGCACGAGCCAGAAGGACCTCCCCGGACAGGACTTGGAGGATGAGGCCAGCAGGGTGCCGGGCTTGGTGGTGCCCAGGTGCACCACGCAGCCGCACCGGCAGCCAGAGTTGACGGCCGTCCCCTGCGCCGCCCCCGCCGCCACCCGCCTGCCCTCCGCAGGCGGCGGCAGGGGCAGCGGCAGGTCAGCGCTAACCCCTTCGGGAGCGCAGTCCCATTCGTTGTCCGGTCCGCAGCGCATCGTCTCCAGCGAGGAGCCCTGGGGGACAAGGACGAGAGACGAGAGAATAAGATCGTCACCTCTAGAAAGGAGAAGAGAGGGAAGGAGGGGGGGGGCAGCGGGAGGTAGGGAGGAGACTGGGAGGAGACGAGGCGGAGAGCACGTAGCAGGGCCACCAGTGCCCCTGCCAATCAGCGAGTAGGCCGTCCCGCCGAACACCCAGGTCCAGCGGGACTGCCTACCCGCCCGGCTGACCTCGGCGGCAGTCCGCACCAGCACAGCCTGGCTGCTTGGCACAGCCACTCGGGCCCTCTACCCCACCATCTCCCCAGCAGTCAGTGGAGGATTATTTAAGGAAGTGCGGCGCAGTGGCGGGACGCACGAAATTATAAAGTAGACTTTTTTACCCGCAGCTTACGCGGTTGCACAAATTCACACACAATTGGTATAGATGTTGAACATGAGCCGCAGCGTGTGTTAAGGTGATGCCGTTAAGTTCAGGTTTAGAGTATTCATATTTTGAATAATAATAATTGGAGGCGTGTACGAAAAGTACCGGGGAAGAGGTGGGGGCGGGGGGCAGCTTCCATCGAAGGAAGTCAGGAGAAGAGTGTGATCTCCTCTCAAGGCGAAACTATACTCCGCCTCTGGCTGTTTCGGTTCCTGCACGAGGGGGGGAGGGACGAGGGCGGTGAGGAGGAAGGGAGGGTGGACAACTTTTCGCGAGGCGATAGTTTGAGGCGCTTTGTGCAGACCGGGGAGCAGGAGGTTTGTGAGGAAGCTGCTGTGCGATGGGATAGGCCCCGAAAACTTGGGAATTAGCCACAAGTTGGTGCAAAGAATAACATCTTTGGAATGGATCACACAATACCGCAGGCCTGTGCCCGTCAGGCGTTACCTGTTCCCTAACGTACAGTTAAGTAGGTTAACTATTTTTTTCAAAAACAATTTAAGTTCTGCATTATTTTTTTAATGACACTGCAATAAAAGGGGAAAAGGGAAATGCAGGACAGTGGTGGTATACTCTACAACGGTTGACACAAGCTTACCTCGCAGAACTTTGCCCCGTATCTCGGGGGTGGGCTGTCACAGAAGCGGTAACGGTTCCTCGTGCCGCCGCCACAGGTCGAAGTGCACGCCGACCACGGGCTCCACGCACCCCAGGAACCCGAGTCGGCCTCTACAATGGAGCAAAAAGAAAATGTCAGAAAAGAGACAATAATCATGGTTCCTTCAAAATGAACTGGTGTATTTGGCGAGCGGTTGAGGCTCAAATCGATCCGCGGAACTGGGTTTGGAGGTTTGGACCTCGGTTTGGACAATGCTTTGGGGATCAGACCTGTGCATGTGTGCGTTGTTTCTGTGAATTCACTACCTTCTCTCTCCCCCCCCCTTCTCTCTCTCTCTCTCTCTCTCTCTCTCTCTCTCTCTCTCTCTCTCTCTCTCCGGCCCCTATAAGCGGCGAGGCACAAGTGTGAGCTTGTTAGTCTCGGCGCCCCACAGACCGCTCGCTGCAGTGCAGGGGACAGGGCTGGGCCCTCCAGCGGGCCAGGCCTTCGGGCCGCACC